CAGCACATATAATAAAGCAGTACTACTTGAAGTCTGTATGTTTTACTGTTATTGAAAGTGAACTCGTTTTGAAACAATTGCAATGTCACAATGGGAACCAGGCCCAAACCATTTATTGCAGAGGGTTATTAAATATTACCCAGCTAGTAAACTGCAGCATTCAAAATACACTTTTGTTCACTTTTAGTAAGCAATATTATTCTCACGATAAAGCGTATTACAAACAATGATGTTACATGATTTTCTTCATGAAAAACAAACTGAGATAAATGCAAATACCCCATAAAACATCAAACAAAAAGTCAGTAACACTAAAACTTGTAAAATTCATTCATAAAACATTTTCATTTGTCCAACTAATACACTAAGGCACTTCAAATAATTTGTAAAAATTACTCACTAGTTTTTGCTGAATTGCACTTGTAAGTTTCAATAAATTAACCTAGCAGTACGATGTAAATTCAGTCAATGAAGCACCAATCAATATCCATCCATTAGTTCTTTAACCCCTGTGGACTCTGTTTCTTTTCTACACAGATCCAAACAGCTGAGCAATGTAAAAAAAAGTTTTAAATGCATGTTTGAGCCATTCTTCAACAAGGACGATTTTTTCATGCCTTGAAATACACAATTCAGTTTTAAATTAATATTTTTCATAGGAATGAAAATAAATCTCAGCTCATGTAGCATAATTTGTGTATATTTATTCATACACATTCACTTGTGTATATTTATTCATGCATATTTTCTTGAGCCTTTATTTTGTTAGATGAAAGAGGAGTTGTAGGGGTTGGGTATTTTGATGATAGGACTGCTGTATCAAATTTATGGCTCCTTTTTGGTGCAAAATAGTTTCTATTCAAAAGAGCAAAAATGTATGGTTATTACATTTTGACAACAACACTCGCTGTTTCTTTTATTATTCTAAATTCAGGTAGCATTGACAAAGGAATAGGGGAGGGTTCCCAGGGCTCAAGAAAACTTGCGCGAATTTCCAGATTTTTTATCACATATACGCTCATATCACTTTTAAAACCCAGGTTAAACCAAAAGCTAACCTGACCTTCATAGATACCCTTGCTTTAAAAAATCTCAATTGCTTTTGTTTAAAAACGTTTCAGTATCTCCAATTTATTAGTAATAAATTGGTAAAACCATTAATCTCTTATTGCCACTTAACGTTATTCCGTTTTATCTGAATATCCTTGGGTGGCAAAATATTGTCTATTTTCTAGATTTCTCTGTAGATTTCATTTACATAACTGCGACTTGTACATATTAAAGTCAGACCAAACTTGAGTGTCATAGCCGCCCATACAGATGCAATCAGGGCTGAATCTGACATAGGGAGGACAGCTGAAACATGAAATAGTAGAACCAATTAAATATTTAGAAGATGTATAATCATACACACATGCACTAACACACAATCTTTAATGAAAGTCTAAAAGAATTTCCTTAACATGTCATTTGAATTAATAAAGTAGTGTATAGGTTTGTATATTTTCTTCAGCAAAAATGTTTGTTAAATATGGATACAGATACTCAATAGTCTGTTTTTGTGCCCTAGATCAGCCAAATATCATTATATTTTGAAAAGATGATTGTTAGAAGTGCCTTAAAAAATTGTTAATACACTACAAATTTGTTGGATTCTATATTTCTTCAAAGCCTTTTCATTAAATGCTCCAGGAAATTAACATCATTACCAGTATGAGATTTACATTTTTTTTTTTTTCTTTCAAGACCATCAAATAATGTATTTCTCATTTTGTTTTATATGAATAATTATTAAATATGAGTACAAGTAATTAATTCATTGTTATAATTGTTGTTTTATATTTCTATTGGTAAAAATTCAGATGGTAGGACTTAAAAGAGATGTTACATTTTTTTTTTTTTAAGTTAAATTGCAGTGATACAAAATAACCTTATGGTCCAAGAAAATGGGAGTCCATAAGATTTAGTTATTAAATTAAAAAAGGATGTAGTTATCAATTTAAAGATTAGAACAAAATATTAAGGCATGGAATGGACATGCCCTGGGTATGAGGACTCGATGAAGAAACCGCTAATAAGTCTCCGATTATATAGTATCTTAAGTGAGAGTTATTGTCAGGTTATAAGAAACTATCACCACTTTTGTAAATCATTGTCTTTTCCAATTAACAACTTGCTGCCAAGTGGATTACGTTTGGACCATTTCATGTTGTTAGTCAGATGTGGAGACTTGAAAGGACAGGTTGAAGTATATGCATGAGAGTACGGTGTACTTTGATACCATAACATTAATCCTGGAGTTCCCAAAGGGAGTTGGTATCATCCCCCTGGAGGTCAATGATAATCAAGAGGTCTATAGGGGGTCTGTAGCCGATTATGAAGTGGTGATTGATAGGTATAATAAAGATCTCTTTAATTACAAAAAATATTAAACGAATATAATTAATAGTTTCCTCATATAGAGCTACAAATAGGTGCACATGCTGGTGCAAATGGTACATGGCACCAGCCCCCAGACGCAAGGGGCTTTTAATAATGATCTCCCGCAGATGGATTTGGGCAATTTTATCAACTCTCTCCTCGTTCTTTTTTTGTTATTTAAGGTTGCATCAACATCTAGATCATTAGCGACTACTATTGCATTTAATGGAATGGACACTGTGAAGATGACAAATGGTGATGATAGGGAGTGAAGGAACGAACCCCCGTAGAACCTTAGCTGTCTTGGACCAGAAGATTGGGGGTTCGAGTCCCGCCTTGGACATGTTTGTATGTGTCAATTTCATCATTCATCATCATCATTTCATCCCATCCCCCAGGGCAAACAACCCTGGGGTATAAAAATAGATTCCCCCTATAGAAAAAGTAAGGTGTATCTACGCTGATAATCAAGTCTGAGCATGTATGTGGGATGCACGTATCGTGCGGCTCCATGATGGCTGGTTTGCGAAAAAAAAAAAAAAAAACAACCAACTTATAATACATCTTTATTCAACTAATTCTCTGGAAAGAATAAACAGACATTCAACTTTCTTGATGATAATCAATGACAAAAAATGATCTCAAACCATTGTTATAGTATGAACCATAGGACAGACTAATTTAATTTTAGTGTTCAATTTTATGAAATTTATATGGTATTTGTTAATACATGTGCTCATTACTCAGCAACCAGAAATAATTTAAATTATCTGAGAATTCTTGAAAGTAGATAATTATTAGGAGAATCTAATAGCATACTTATATAATTTTCAGCAAAAATCTGTCTTACCAGCTTTTCCACCAGAGTCATAGATATATTTAAACATTTCATTGAGGTCACAGAATAAAACAAAGAAAATGCCATATTACACATACCTACAAGGACTCGTGTAACTACACAAGGATCGAATGCTAGGAGAAGCAAAATGATTCTTTGATGTGTAATGAGAATATTTTCCATCTTCAGAATACTGTCCTTCCATGAGAACCAAATATCCAAAGAAAATCTAATTACACTTCCAAATGAGGAGGCACTTGTTTTGGGAGAATTATCAAAAACAGGATTTTCGCATAGTGTTTATTTTTTTATTTTAATAATATAACACTGTTTGTCGATCAAATGAAAGAATTTCAATATATTAGAATTACTTAACATCACCACTTTTATTGTCAGAACATAAACTGCAGGAAAAATTTTGAAGAATACTTAAAATTTTAACTGATGAATTCTCTATCAAAAGTCTTGTCTTTGTGCGTAGAAGAAATCAAACGAACAAAAGAGTGAAAGTTAGTGAGATGCTAATACGAAATCTCTATCATCTCAACAGAGAAAAGTTTTCCAATTATTTTTTAAATGTTGAATATCATTAAATGGCTCTTGTTCCTTCAAAAAACTAAATCAATGCAATACTATAAAACATCAAATTAAAGCAAATGTTTTATCAAATGGTTCCATAAAAATAGGATAACTTTTACATGCAGGATCACTTTCAAAAATTTGTGTCCTGAAACTGACATTGATCTTACTGACAGAAGGAGGTTGAAAAAGAGTAATTGGAGAGTATAATAGGCTTTCGCGGCCAGAGTCAAGATCTTGGCTGTATGGTGATGCAGCATTGCCAATGTTTTGTTCATCTTCTCGTGGTCTTAATCAGGGGCAAACCTGCCCTGAGGAAGACCACGAGAAGATGGTTGAAACGTCAGCAACCCAGCCTTCAGCATGGCATCACCCTGACAGCTAAGAAGACATCATAGAAGACACCAGTTAAAAAATTGCATTGGGTATACTTTAGACAGAAGGCAATATTACATTGTGTGTAGACAATTTCAGCCCATACCATATGAAGAACAGACACTCCAAAATTAAATCAAACATCATATTGAGGTTTGCGAAAGTTAATTGTTTGGCCCAAAATATGTTTAAAGACAGACATTTTGACCCACTTGAAAAGAAAAAAATAAGGATATCTGCTTGAACAAGATTTAATCTGAATGCAACCCAATGAATGTCATCTTCTTTTTCAAAAGTGACCATTCATAGGTTGAAATCATGTTTTCGAGGGTTTTTTTGTGAGCCTTGAATGATGATTCTAAGGTCAAAATCTCAAAAAAATGAGACCTTTGAGAACTTGTTATTACAATTTAGGGGATTTTTCTCTCCTGAGTGTTTTCCACTCTCCAGCACAGGTGGTAAGAAATGCATCAAATCCCAATTTCTATGTAAAATGAAATTGATTGTTTGATATTCTGAGTAATTTAATTGAACATGTTTAAACATGCCTTTTTGGTTATAAATGTGTAGTGTGTTAGGTTTACTCAAACAGCACAATACCAAGCCTACACAACGGGAATGCCAAGTTCAGAGTTTGCCCATTTGAAGTTGGGTTAAAGCTATTTTCAAGCTTCATGGTATGTTTGCACAAGCCTACTAATATAATACTATAAAAATAACTTTTGTGTAGTATGATTTATACATTAAATATGTTTTGCAGCAAAACATAAATTAAAATTATCAGGTCAATTTGTTTTTTTTCTCTTCATTTTTTTTTTTTTTTTTTTTTTTGCTGCTGCACTGTAGGCTATATAAATTTTTGGTTCTTATGTCTGAAATTGTACTATGAAACCATTACTGAAGTTTTTTGTTACCAATAAAGAAGTTCAGGATTAAGAATTGATCCAGACTCATCAGCACAGTACTCTTTTCTACTTCTGAGAAGTAAATTCCATACCATTTTTCAAGAGTAGAAGAAATATGAATGATATAAAATTACAATATTTTACATTTCTGTTGACAATTCACCTGTTCGATTAAAGATTATGAACTGTACTGTCTTGCAAATACTGCACTTGCATAAAGGTAGTACAAATTGACCAGATGGATCTTCATGACAAATTCATCATTTGCAAAAATTCAGTGAGTTTTCCCAAACCTGCAACTAATATATTCTCTTCAAGTACCTACATTATTTCTCTAATCAATTTCTAAGTAACGTTTGCTGACTAATTTGTAATCCTACATTTTACTAGACCTGCACAAAACTACATTTTCATTCAATCTGCTTTTGTCAAATTATTCGTAATAATTTAACACTATAATTTTTTGCAATAATATTCAAATCATTACAAACCAAACACACAAAACATTTTGACACACTACAGAGGAAAATTTAACCATTTTCATAAGTTTACAGGAAAAAGTTGGAAGGAAGATAGGTGCACTGTGGGCTGGAGAAAGAAAAGAACAACTGAGAGACAGAATGAGAAAAAACTCCCAAAAAAGATGCACACAAAGAAGTGATGAAAAATTATTGGTGGTCTTTAGAAGGCCAATTTATTAAAAAAAGAGAACATAACCACCTGAAATTTTCAATTTTTATTTCAGACATTCAGAAAAATAATGCTGAAAGAATAAACAAATGACAGGTCACCAATATTATATACATCAACAATGTATATATAATATACACATTATTGAAAAAATACTTTTTTTCTTATTTTCTTTTCTTTCTGTAATAATTATAATGATTAGAAAAATATGTGATTGCTCCATTTCATCTTTTCTGCCACTGTCAATGTTTGCAAATATTTTGGAGTTCATTATTGTGGTAGTAATTGCATTATAGTGTTGGTGCAAAGAATATTGTGGTGCTATTTGTGATTGTAAACAGATATTAGTTAAAGAATCAAGATGTAGCAAGAACATGATTGGAGTTGATACTTAATGTGTAAATTTAAGTTCACTATGAATACTAACGTATTTGGTAGTACACAGCCACAAAAATATACCACGCAAAACCAGCTGCTCCTGCAAGTGAAACCAGAACTCCTAACAGTGTCATTCCTTGTAAAGTTTCCACATTGTGCCATGTTTCCAGCAAGTCACGGAAGTGTAAATATGTTAAATGAAAACAAACTGCAGCAAACACTCCTGAAACACATCAGAGGAAAAGTTTATATTCAAATGCAGGGCAATAAATATTGGGCTTCAATTTGAGTAAAAATGTTGCCTAACTGAAACCTCCACGCATTTAGAGGACAAACTTTGATCATTATTGTATCCTCATAATACTTGTCAAATATTTTAAGATGACAATTGCAGAGTCACAATATGTACACATCACAACTGGTTACTCCTAACATTCAATTAAGAAATTAATTAAATAATAAAACATATGTAGTGTCTGCATTCTAAATTAAACGTATGTTTGACAAACAATACTTTTATAAAATTGGGAGTTATATAGATGGGAAAAGTTATTAATACAACTTCTATAAGTGATGAAATAGTCATTGAAGGGATGCACATACACCCAAGATTTCATTTTTGAAGATACAACTTTTCTAATGTATTCATTGGAAACACTTTACTCCAACGAGTAACAATTCAAATTGTAAAAAATTCTTTCCTGTACACACCTGTAAATAATGCCCAGACACCAGCAGCATGATTGCCCCACACAATGAAAAATAAAATAAACATAGCTATTCCTACAATTGTCCCTATAGCACTAGTAATTAATCGCCACCATTCACAACAACCGTGCCCCATTTTTAATGCGTTTTGAAGACAATACAATAACAAATTAAATCTAATTCAAACACCATTCACTGTCTGTGCTCAAAACCGTGCCAAACCAAACCCCTGCATTCGTCGCGCCTCTTTCAAGTGTGTTGCGGTGTGTTGTCACGTAGCTCATCTGAGCAACTGAGCAGCACAACTGGAACTCATTTGTTCTGACAGCTGGTGCGGAGATTAATCTAGCATTCCCGTGACGCGTAGATTAGTGAATCCCAGCGAACCTTCCCCGCATGCTCTTCTTTTATTGCAGATGCTTGCTCAATAACGCCGATGTTTTAACGAAGAAAAAACAACATAACCTTCATATCACAATGTTGAATTCAGGTGGTGTCGCGGAGAAGAAATTTCCTCCTGGAAATTGAAATTCCCCCTTGGAAGTTTCATATAGATTTTAAATGTAAATGAAAGTTATTGTACGTTAATGGATGTTGATATTGTTGGATTCGGAAATCATCATTTATATTACGTTTATTTCAAATGCATATTCTGTTCGTATCCGTGTTGGAGGACGGACAATTTCAAAATTATGTTTTATTTGTGTTACAATATTGATAAATTCAAGATTAAGATTTTCCCTAACAAATTTAACATTCCTCCGAAGGAAAGTGTATTTATTGCTGCTCATGAATCTTTAATAATTTTCTATTAATAAATGTCATGCAATGTGTCATGATGCAAGCCGTCCAATAATTCGTAAATATGCTGTCACATACTATTCGAAGTATTCTAAATTGTAATAAACACTTAACAATGAAGTGTAATAATGTGATTCCCTTTTCATTAAAATACAAAATTACGCATACAATCACAACGAATTCGTGTCTTTTAAAAAAAATCTAAGATAAATTCTTCAACGCAGCGATTTATCTTGTAGCCATAAGTGGCAAACGTGTTAAATATTTTTCGATTTTTGAACCATCCGCCATATTTTGCTTTAAGTATTGGCAACAATGCGGAAAACACTTCTCAGGTGTTTAGCACGCGAGGTTATGGTGTTCGCAAGATAGCACGCGAGGCTCTGGCATTCAACTTTCAATTTGTTAGCGCTCAATTCAAAAATTGATTTAGGGTATTCAACGAATAAAATATTGAAATTTGGCGTTAAGTTTACGTGAAAATGTTTTTCTTTGGGACGATTCATAAAATACGCCCCCAATAATATGTAAATTGACACATTTTTGCAAATATACAGAAGACATTTCTTAATCTTCGTTAGTGATGCCACGACACCAGTGACAGATTTAAAAAGTCAGCCAGCTTTCACTATTAGAGAATTTTAGCGCCACGTCTCAAGGTAGCGACCACGGAGTAAGTACACCATGAGATGTTTTGCACTAACAGTCACGTTACGGAGCTTGAAGTTAAAAAGTTTTACCTGAAGCTTAAGGCAGGACCTTGTCCTTTCAAAAATACTGCGTACATGTATGATCTGTTCAGGCCAGTCCAGAGACGATTTAACGCATGGGCGAACCCGGCGGCCACCGGAGGCCTCGGTTTCTAAGGGGACCTCAAAATATCGAAAACCACAAACACACAATTCAAAAATTGTATTAAGTTTTTTTAAAACAAATATATTACTGTTTCTGTTTCATTGTGATTTCAAATGAAATGCTGTTCTCTCAGAAATAATAGTATATCAAAGTCTAAAGACCCTATTTCTGTAAGCTCCCGTGCAAAAAACATTCGTACACATTCAATTTCAAACCCACATATTTGGAGCCTTCCAGTATTTTGTAGTAGTGTGTGTGTGTAATAAGTATTTTGTCGAGAAGTGTGTTGTCACGACTGTGGGAAAGTGTCATCGGGCTATCAAATCAGAAGAGATAATTATTGCTGTTTTTCTGATTTTCCTCTGTGCCTTACAAAGACGTAAGCATTATAAAACATTTTTTTAGCATAATAATGCAAAAGTACGAAATTATTTATTTTAATACCTTAGTTTTATAAGTTTATGATTCAGAGCTTTTGGATTTCTCAAACAAAAGCAAGGTTAATACTCGTAATATGATTGTTTTGAACCATTTTGTGCTAGCGTCGATCAGGGGCAAAGTAGGACGTTGCTATTCTACTATGCCCCGAAATATTTGACTGCATATTATTACAATTGCTAGTTTTAGGAGTAAGTAAATTTTATGTTACCCATGAGTACCTTTCAATCACAAAGTGTTAAGAACTGGCTTCAAAATCAACCAGGCAAAATGGTGACTCTCTTCAAAGTCAATTCTCTCTTTGGAGAAGCATTTGTAAGGGCAGCCACAACACAGAATGCTTTCTCTGAGTTTAGACACATAGGGATATACCCTCAAACATTTTCTGATGGTGCTTTCGCTCCAACTGAAGCAACAAATTGTGAACTGTCTGCAGAATCTTCAGAAGCTACATTGCAAGCTACACCATTACGTCATTGGTGAAACCAAAATCTCAGTGCCTGACAGTTGTTCTTGAAGATTTTTTTCTTGGGCCAAAATCAGGAACAAATTCGAATGAGTTTGCTTTAAACAAAATATGTTCTAAACTAGTGGTGCTACAGAATGGCACAGACTTTCCCGTATTCGTTTTTAATTTCCTTTGGTCTCGGCTAGTTATTCGGACTTGCCACATTCTCTTGCCAGCACCCAAAGTACATTTTTAAAAAAATTCTTAATTTTTCGGTTTCTATTGTAGAACGGAAATACTATTTCGAGAATATTAAAGAAGAGTAAAACCTCGTCATAATTGAATTTTTTAAAAAATCTGGATCCGATTTTAAGAAAATGACGTTTAAGTGTTACTTAAATTCAAATTTGAAGTTCTTTTTCAGAGACAATTTTTGAGTTTCATTGGAAGCTATTTAAGCTTCATTGGAAGTTATTTGAAGCATTTTAACTCACAAATACAGTAGTGTTTTCATATGGCTGGAAATGTGCATATTAAAGGCGAGAGAGATCTTTCAAAAAATTACATTACTGTAATTTTTGAAAGAAAAAACTACAACAAAAAATACCCAAAATGAACTTTGCGTCATAGAGTGCAATTAGCACTCTCTTAGAGAAGTTTGAAGAAAAAATGGAGCCGTTTTTGAGAAAATGCCGTTTGAGCGTTTCTGAAAATGCGGAATTTTGAGATAGTTTTCACAGAAAACGGTTGAATTCTCGAGAACCTTTATATGACATTATTTAAAGCACATGTAATCATAAATATAACAATGTGAACAAATTGCCGCTGATGTAAATATTAACGATAAGAGAGAAGTAAAGAAAATTACGTTCTTGTAACATTTGTTATTTTTTTATTTTATTTGTTATTTTTTTTAAATTGCACATATTGCACGCAATATTGCGCAAAAACTACTTAAATTTTCAGAAAAAAAGTGCATGACAATGTAAGAACTCATTATGGAGAACACATTTTATTTGCAGGAAACATCTCTTTAATTTCTTAATCATCTTTAATTTCGTAGTCGTTGAAAACGCGTCTAGTAAATTTGCTAGAATGGTGTGTATTGACCACGCTGGAGTGCTTCACATATATTTTGAGGTATGGTACAGCCAACCACAGCCCATGCCTGGGGCTAAAAAGGCAAAGACCTTAACGGCAGAAATGGAGGATGGGGCAACCCTAGCTAATGTACATAGTTAGGAAAGATGCCAAATCTGAAGATAACAACCTTGTAGAGAAATGGAGAGAGTGTATTTTTTGAAGTAGAGAAGGAAACCTTGAGATATGTTATTATGCTTAGAAATGCAAGAAAGAATTCGATTGTTTTTACATGATGTCCTAATCCCACGTGTTATCCAAAAATTGCTTTTCTGTGAAATATTTAATTTTCTCCTTTGAAGAGGAAAGCAAGTGTTAAAATGAAATGAAAGCGTTGAAAAAAAGAATTGTATTTATCGTGTGTATCAACAATATTGTAAACCGCGTCCCATGACTCCAGCAAGTAATTAATGAATAATTTTATTTTACTTTGAGTAAATAATCTACTTATACGTGTATTATTTATTGTGTCAGTGCTCGCATTTCTTATGATGGTAATAATTTGTGCATCGTGATCACTGTATCCTATTTCTTTTTTTTCAATTTCATATCGAGTAGTGGTTTTGCTAATTATTATTTAGTCGATGGCCTTCTTTGAATTTAGTGTGATCCGTGTAGGTACATTTATTGTAATATTTAAACTGATGGAATGAATTAAATAAAAGAATTTGAAAAACTGCTCTTTCTCGCAAGATTCGATCAGAAAATCAATGTTAAAATCTGCACATACAACAATGCATTCAAAAGAGCGATTGGTGACTTTGTTTAGTGTTAACTCCAGTTTTTTAAGTACATAATATAATCTACTGCTCTCTTTGTTGGAGGCCTTTAGATGCAAAGTAATATAATTTTTAGCGTAGGAAGATGTACTACAAATATTTCATTCAAACATATTTTCAACGGATACACATTTAATTCCGTCAAGGAAATAGAATCGATATAATTTCGAACATAAATGCAAGAACCCCTATATGCAGGACCTTTATGTGATTCCTTTTCTCTACAATAATATCCTGCGAGGTAAAAGTTTGGAATTTGGAAAATGCTAAGTTCATTATCAAATAACCAATGTTCTGTTAAGTGAAGAACATCCATCTGATTTAAATCGCTCTGTAGAGCTGCTTCGATAAACTCAGTTTTATTTGAAAGGGATTGAACATTATGGTGCAATACATTTACCTTTTGCAAGTACCTACACGGTTTTTTCTCTTGCATCTGACTGTAGTTGCTATATATTTACTCCATTTTTACCTCGAGTGCGTAGTCGAAGGTTGTAGTGTGTCCCTGCAGTGACAGGTTGGCTACTGAGGCATCAGGTGTAGGAGAATTGGTAGTGGGAGTGGGAGAATCGGGAGAAGGATCAGAGGAGGAGGTAAGTGGGTTCGAAATAAGGGGGGGGGTGGAGATCGTAAGGAAGGTGAAAGGGATGGATTTTTCTCTGGAGACAGCGTAGGACTGGAGTTAATGATGTGTTGTGCAAGCTTGTTGCCGACTGTATGTTTTCCAGCAAGGTTCATGTGGAGACCATGCCGGGTGAAGTGTTTTGCTGAGAGGAAATCCATTTCAAAAAGTGTAACATTTGTTTCTCTCAGTTGCAGTTTTAATTGTTGGTTTGTGTGCTTAATCTCGCTGCATAATGCTGGTCTGTTGTACCAGAAGGGCAGAGTCGAGACTACGGTGTTAGTGTTTTGGGCGGCACATTGTAATTTGTTTACATGTTGTTCAGGTGTAAAGTTACCGCCCAAATTATTCATTCTGCCCTCCTATGATAATGACTGTGTCCTGCTTGGTCAGTCTCTCTGTGTGGAT